CTAAAGTTGGTTGTCTTACTCTTTTAATCAAAATTTTTCTCAAATGCGATAGCGTGTTGTCGTTTTCTATTGCCACTATGACTTTTTCCTTTCTTGGATGTCATATTGATTAAATATATAAATCACAAAACTGAAAAAAGAAGTATAGCACAAACACTCGAAAAAGCATTGCTTAACTCGCGCATGCCTAACACCAACTAAAATTTGACACAAAATACCGTTACGTTCGTTATCCGAGACAAAACTTTTGCAAAATAAAAGTTCGTTAACCGATTTGGTCGTTAACCAGGACGTTCATTAACCGAGGTTCCACTGTACTTGAGCAATCAATTTTTGAATGATAGGAAATATGACATTTCATATTATTAATACATGACCTAATGCATTTAACATTGAATATCAGACTAACCATAGCAAGAAATAAATTAAACAGACACCTTAGAATCACTACATTCTTATCAAAAATGCTAATAATTCTACAAAAATAAATAGATATTTCTTAATATACAGTGAGAGAAAAAAGGATTAAATAATAAGTAAAAGTGAAATATAAATAAATGTACTTACAATGATACTGAAACAAAAAAAATAATCCACCAAGGACTTCAGCCTTTAACACAATTTTTTTGCCCTCTGAATATTATAGTCAATGATGATGATCAGTGTTTGTATTTAAAATTAATCAGATATTATAGGCACATACACTGATTGTCTAATATATTCAGGAATATCTGTCAGGTGATCCAGTTATAATTATTTGATATATACTGCTTGTTGTTGAATTATTCTATATTCTATACATTTTATATATTGTATATAACTATATTGCATTATCTGAGAAAACAATTTCTCAATAAAAAGTGATGATTTTTTCCTATTGTTGGCTGTTACATCAGTTTTTATTAGATTTTAGAGATGCATTAATAATTTTATAGACATGACTAAAACTAAATTTGAAAAATTTTAGTGGTGATAAGATTATCATCATGCTGCAGTTTTATGAATTTAATTTTATAGATATAATTTGTTGTATCCAAATGAAAAGTGTATTGTATCTTGTTGAAAATGAGATATAAAATGAAATGTTAGTGATCAGAACTTTGATAATTTTTAAGCAGTAGTGACAGTTGATCAATTAATAGAAAAATGATAAAACTTCAAATTTTATAAGGTTAAAAAAAATTAAAATTAACATATTTTGTATTAACTTGTTGACATTGGAATATTTATAACTGTCCAGTTATTCATTGTTCAATATTTTTCCTTTAAAATGTAGTTTTTGTTACATGTCATTTCACATTTCAGCTAAAATTAATTTTTATTTACTCATTTTTCACAGTAAATGTATGTAAGAATTTCCCATTTTTCTCAATTTTATTAATATATTTTTGTAAATGCTTTGTAAAGTTATATTTTCATATAAATTATTTTTTGGATATAATTTTGAATATTGTGTAAAAATTTTAAATGTTAGGAAATGTGTTTTTAGACATCAGATAATTCAAAGCATAAATTTTATTTTATTTTTTGAGAGAAAGAGAGAGAATTTTCTTCTAAATTATAACTTGATTAGAATTTGAATATAATAAATTTCCAATGGGAATTGACTTTTTCTATAACTGCTGTATTGTCATAACTTTAATAATATTTATGCTCTCTTTGATTACCCCCTTTCAGCTTTAGGATGCTGCTTTTGATTGTACAATTTAACCATTTTGTATAAAATTAATTATTAATGTAATTCAGTTGATTGTTATAAGTTTTTCTTTAAATATTTACCAAAGAAAACATTAAAAAAATGTAATAGAACTAATATTTCTGAAAATATTCATGAAATTAAGTTTGGTGATAATATTTTAAAGTAAGATTTTAATATGAACTTTGTACAGTTAAAATACATACCTTAAAGCATTTACACATTAATTTGTGCCTTAACTGTACTGAGTTCTATGGAGTAAGTTTTTATAATGATTTGTATCAGATTTAATGTAATAATTATAACTTTTGTCTTGGGATAGTAAACTTGGCCTCACTTTAATCATTTATATGAAATATTTGAGTAGAAAATTTTACAAAAAAGGAAGGCAAAGAATGATATAGTTGAAAGAGGCTGTCATATACAGTGCTAGAAAAATTCCATACTAAAATAGTTTGAGCTACAAGCCTAACTCTTGATGCATATTCAATAAAATGGCATTTTATTGAATAACAGTTTTTTCATAGATATTTTGATAGTCAAAAAACATATTGCTAATCAACTAATCAAGCAAGATTTATCATTGGGCTATATTTTAACTAATTAAATATACAAATGCTTCATAATTTGGACTGAAGTTATTAGGCAATTAACTAAAATCTTCTCACGTGAATACTGGAAACAAATAAATCAAAACCTTTAAACGTCCAGTAGTAATCAATTTAATAATAAACAAATGTTTTCGACCGTACTCTCTGTCTTCATCAGGTTTAAAATCAGTTAGATTCGAACCTGTGCAAGCGTAGAACAATGATTATGAAATTAATTTTGAAAATTAATTTTGGAACAGCACAAACGGATTTTAAAAGAATACAGTTATGCATGTGCATTGCCATGGCGATGGAATGGCATATGTAATATATACAATTATATAAATATATATAAATAAATACACCAAACGGGGATGTGGTCTTTAATTGCTGGAGTGGGCGTCGCCCGTTACCTCATAGCAGTATTTCCAAGCGTGGGACACATTGACCGCATAATTAGCATTAATGCAATTGGTGCGTAACCCGGCTTTGTAAATTTCCAGTGCCTCCAGATTTCGTAGGTGTTCCACCCGGTGAGAAAGTTTGATCAGTTTGGCCTCATGTATGTCAGCTCTTATGCCGGGTTCAGTGGCATATGTTGATAGGGCGGTGGTGTGCCTTTTATTAACGATGTCGTATTTGTGTTCCTGCAATCTTTTATTCAAAGAGCGTTTTGTGGACCCAATACAAACTAATTCCCTTTGAAACCTGTTATCTCATAGAGAGACCATGTAAACACCCGGTGCTTGCTTCTTATTGATTTTGTCGTTGCCACCGCGGAGTAGCCCATATACAGTGCTAGGCCTCTTGTATGCAATCTTAGTGTTAGTATGGACAACAATCTCCCTGTAAACTGAGAACTGCCGCCCATACTAACACTAAGATTGCATACAAGAGGCCTAGCACTGTATATGGGCTACTCCACGGTGGCAAAGACAAAATCAATAAGAAGCAAGCACCGGGTGTTTACATGGTCTCTCTATGAGATAACAGGTTTCAAAGGGAATTAGTTTGTATTGGGTCCACAAAACGCTCTTTGAATAAAAGATTGCAGGAACACAAATACGACATCGTTAATAAAAGGCACACCACCGCCCTATCAACATATGCCACTGAACCCGGCATAAGAGCTGACATACATGAGGCCAAACTGATCAAACTTTCTCACCGGGTGGAACACCTACGAAATCTGGAGGCACTGGAAATTTACAAAGCCGGGTTACGCACCAATTGCATTAATGCTAATTATGCGGTCAATGTGTCCCACGCTTGGAAATACTGCTATGAGGTAACGGGCGACGCCCACTCCAGCAATTAAAGACCACATCCCCGTTTGGTGTATTTATTTATATATATTTATATAATTGTATATATTACATATGCCATTCCGTCGCCATGGCAATGCACATGCATAACTGTATTCTTTTAAAATCCGTTTGTGCTGTTCCAAAATTAATTTTCAAAATTAATTTCATAATCATTGTTCTACGCTTGCACAGGTTCGAATCTAACTGATTTTAAACCTAATGAAGACAGAGAGTACGGTCGAAAACATTTGTTTATTATTAAATTGATTACTACTGGACGTTTAAAGGTTTTGGAGTTTTAATTTAAATTAGGAAATTAAGTCACCATCGTATATTAAATTTGATAATTAGAAGTAATGAATTAACTTAGGATATTCTGGATAAAAAGATTAATACAGAGAAGGATAACTTGCAACTTCTGCTCACCATGCAGTTGCATTGCCAGTTATGCTTCCTGGACTTTCACAACTGCACTTTAATCCAAATTAGGCAGCATTTATGTAGTTAATTAGCCAAAATGTAACCCATTAAACTGTTAATTTTGCTCCACATTATTTTAAATTGTTTTCTTTTTTCTTAATATTGCTGTTTTTTTTATTAAGATTTTTAATATAAAGTTATATAAACAATAAATGTTGAATTAACACTAAACAATCTGCTAAATTATTGGGCTGTAATAAGTCTAGTTAGTCTTATTATAGCCCAGTAATATGGCAGATTGTTTGGTTTTAATAAAAAGATTAAATAATTGTAAATGTATAAAGATCTAATATTGTTCACAAAGAATTGTTTTAAATTACGAAAAATGTGTAGATGATTACAAAACAGTATGAAACTCCAGAGTGAACTGCCAAAGGCGAATATTCTGAGATGGAGCTGCTGGTACATAAATAAAATTATCTCTCTTACATTTGAAATATGTAATATAGTGGCTTCCTGCACAACATTATTTTATTGCAAAATTGAGTAATATCACACAAAAATAATTTTATAAGATATATTTTATATGTAAATTAGCTAATTAGTATAAAACTACTAGTATACCTTTTTTAAAACTGTCATAACCTTACTTTTTTATAAATTCTGCCAAAAAAAGTAGTAAAATTATTAAAATAGCAATAATAAAGATTATTGCCTTATCCTATATTAATTTGCCAAAACTGAATACAAAAATACCTATCCATCTATGCACACCTAAGTTTTGCCAGTCACTTATTCATTAAAGCATCACTTACATGAATTTTTAACATCACATAAGCCAACACTTTCTTATGGCAAAATATTGTATTAGGAACATTGTTATATGTGGGTCCATTATATAAAAGTGATTCTTTAATCTAATATTAAAATTGAAACTAAAATTACAAGTAAAGATAGCTAAAATTGGTGTTTTTTTGTTTTTTTTAGTATGGCTTCAATATGGTGATTGAACATACGCAAGCAATTAATTGCATAGCACTAAGTTTGAATCACAAAAGTTTAAGGTGAGTTATTAAAATAAATTCTAAAAGAAAACTTATTCCTATCATCATCATATATAATTAATTAATCTAATTTTTATAATTATTTATTCATAGAACAAAAGCTTTAGCTTTAGAATTGCTAGCAGCCATTTGTTTAGTTAAAGGTGGTCATCAAATTATATTAAATGCATTTGATAATTTCAAAGAAGTTTGTGCAGAAAGAAGACGATTTGAAACTTTAATGGAATACTTCATGAACTATGAAGTTTTTAACATTGATTTTATGGTAAGTTAAAAACTTGCTAATATTTTATTTAATATATGTCATAGTTTACTGAATATAAAATTTTCAAAAATATTTTTAGGTTGCATGTATGCAGTTTATCAACATTGTTGTACATTCTGTGGAGGATATGAATTTTAGGGTTCATCTTCAATTTGAATTCACTCATCTTGGTTTAGATGATTATTTAGATAAACTTCGTCAGACAGAGAGCGAAGAATTGCAGGTACAAATATCAGCGTACTTGGATAATGTTTTTGATGTTGCAGCATTAATGGAGGATTCTGAAACAAAGAGTGCCGCACTTGAACAAGTTGCTGAATTAGAAGAACAATTATCAAGGGTATTTATATACATTAATTTTTTATGATATGCTATATTTTTATGTTATTTAAAATATGAAATATTTTATTATGCTTTTTATTATTTTCAGGCGCATGAAAGAATGCAAGATGTTGAAAATGAAATGATGGCTAAACTAGGTTAGTTTATCATAATTAAAATCATAAATTTTCAGTTTTGTTATAATGAATAGGTTCTAAATTACTATATAACACAAATTTTTCTTCAATTTGAAGTATTTTTTATTTATTATTATTATGGTAAATTTTTACAAATATTTAAATAAGTTTTCAATTCAATTTTAGTAGAATTTATGTATATTAACCAAGCAAATATATTTCTGTAAATACAGATTAATATATATTTTTGAATGGTTTTAAAGTAATTTTGTTATTGTTACAAGAAATTGCAAACTGTAAAAATGCACTTTCTTATACTGAAAAACATATTTTTCAATAAAAATTATCATAATCATTTCCAGCTTTGATTTTTTTTTTCCAAAAATAATAATAATTTTCAAACCATGCTATTTTGACTATTTGAAAGTAAAATAAAAAAAACTTACATTCAGAAATGAAAATTGAGAAACAATATTATTAAGTGATTTCATAATAATTGGTTTTGCATCAGATAGTTTTTTTGACTTTTAAAAAAAGTGCTTATTCTTTTAATTAATTATATTACAAATATAATTATTTTGTCACATTTGTGTATAATTAATACATTTTAATAATTTTTTAAAGATTTATAAAGAATTATATTAGATCATAATAGATGAAATTGCTGATTTGGAATGGCAAAATCAAATAAACAGAACAATCATACAAAATAAAATTTACTTGACAATGTAGTTACCATTATATTCAGTCTCCAATGCATGTCATTTAAAAAAATCAAGGGATCTCAACTCCAAGAACTACTTAACATCATTTTCAACTTTTCAGAACTGTGCTCTTGAAAGTTGTTGAGATGCTTAAAAAAATATGAAAGTATCACAAGTCAGATGAATAAGCAGAATAGAGTAGTCTCATAGCCCAAGTCAGTCAAAATATCTGAACAGTCTTTTGATTAACATTACCAATGAACCAAGAAATGGTGTTTTGCTATTGATCAGAGCTAGTCATTTTTACTTAATTTCCGATGCAAAGTTTTGATTGCAAAACAGTACATTTGTGTATTCATAATCTCATCAGGTTTCAGAAGTTGTAATAGATTATTCTGGATATCTGTAATGTAATGTGCAGTTTCTGTAATGTAAAAGGTTGTGGTTTATTAACATCCAGTCTTTGTGAATATTGTTTATGAATAGCAGAGGATCCATTTCTCATCTGTTGTGATGATTAGATCCAAGAACGGATCATATTTGTTAGCTAAGAGGAGCCAGAACAGTTTAACCTCTCCAGTTTACCTTGCTTGCTTAATTTATGATGATTTTATCTATCAAGTTTCTTTACTTTTTTTAATATTGGTTGACAAGGTACTTTGAAAAGACCACAGGAATGTAGGACTTAATTAAAATGCTGTTCAAGGTCAATTAGTTTGACTAAAGTTAGATTTGATCACTATGTTCAGTTTGTCACCATCGAGAGATATCAGTGGTAAGCTTCATCTTGAGGCTCATATCTTCAACACAAATTTTGTAAATTCATTATTGTACTATGCTTCCAAGTAGCAATATAAATGATAACTGTCAATGTACTTACTTCTAATGGACATCATGGATATGAACAATCATAGTCTATATTCTTACATATTATTTTCCTATGCCAACAGATTCTTGAAACAGTCATAGTTTGCCTGTTTTTCTAAAATTCATTATATTAGTATCCATAAAATTGAGTCAACAGAATTTTATTTTTACTCTATTCTGCTTTAAACTTTAACTGATTTTAACACAATAATATAAACAGCAATTGAACATGATATAAACAACACACAATTTTATTGTTAATGTAAATGTAAGAACTCCAAAAGCTTAGGTTAACTAAAATCAGTGATTCTCAAAGTATAGTCTGTTGACTATTGATGATCCATGTCAATTTTATTTTTTCTTTCCTTGAATAATGTTACCAACATCATATATTCATAAGTATTAATCTTCTTGGTGTTCTGGAATAAAAACCAATAAAAAATTATGTTATTGAAATAAATAGCAATTTCTAAACAGTCTATAGACTTTAAAAGATTATTCCAATTAAATTATTATAAACAATTATGAAAATTATATATCCCATATTGATCTTAAGATGTGATATAAATTTTTTTCTAAGCTTTTTGAAATATCCTATAAATACTGTGATAATGGAGAAGATAGTTTTTAAAATTGGTTGATATTTGTTACATTGTAATAAGTATCAAATAATCTTTAAAAATTTTCTTTATTATCCCAATAAGATTCATTCTTATATTTCTGTATACAGGGATGCAGTTAGAGGGCAGGTGGAGCATTTGCTCCAGATGTCAGGTAAGGGGGATGCCAGGAAGAGAGAGTATTTAATTATTTGAAAAATAAATGATAATTTATTAGAATTGGGTAAGAGAGCACTGAGAGGAAAGGGTGTGTAAGGAGCAAGACAAACTAGCAGTGAAGTAGACTGACTCATTACATGTTGTCAACATACTAAACTTCTGGAACTAGAGAGAGGATGCTGTGATCTTAGTTTGCCCCAGGAGATAGAGTCTAGTTAACTCCTGATATATAAAATATTTTAAACAGAAAAACTTTCACTCCTCTATTTTTTAAAGAAATATCAAAATAGTTAAAACAAATATTTAGCAATTATGTTTATAATTAGATTTTAATGGTTGAATTTATCAATATATTTTTATACAGACTTCATTGTAAGACTATAATAATTCAAATTTTGTTTTATTTAGTTGAGTTGGAAACTCAGTTAGAAATAGCCATAAGAGAAAAAACAGAATTACAGGTAAATTTTCATAAGAATAAAATTTATAAATTTAATAGTAAAATTTTATTAATTTATTATGATTAATTTTAGGAATTACATAAACAAGCAGATGAGGAATTAAATACACTAAGAAGAGCAGTTTCTCAGAAAGAAGAAGAATCGAGACAGAGGCAAAGTCTATTAGAAAATAAAATTCAAGAACTTGAAATTTTACATCAATCATTACCAAAAGGTATTTTTTATTGTCAATATTTTAATATAAGCATTTTATAGAAATTAGTAAAACTGAAATAGCAAATGCAGAAAACAAGCTATACTGCTTGATGATGATATTTTAATTTTAGGATATTAGATTTACAGGGGGTTCTTGATATACATTGTAGTTATGTTCATAAAAAGCACAACTTATATTCAAACCATGTATATTTAACATCTATTTCAATTGAACTAATGTATTAATACAGAAGATACATTCCAGATCAACTAAGAACTTCAAATTTATATGGAAGTATGTAGGCATGTGAATAGGAAACACTTATTTTATTGTATACTAAATCTGTAAAGTGTTCTTATTTGCTAAACAATAATTATTTATTACCTTTATTTTAACATTTAAAAGTCGCATCATGTTATCTTTTCATTATGCTAGACAACTTTTCTAAATACTATCTACTAGTAAAGTAAGAATAGTAAAATATTGAATGTATTACATTCAATATTTTACTATTCTTATATTATATTCAATATTCTATATATTATATTCAATATTACATTTACAGTGCTTCTTCACTCAAAAACAATATTGAACTGGACATTATGGTACATGAGGTGCTGTGAAACATCACAGACCTATTGCACATTGTCGTTGAAAGTTCTATTGTTTATTATCTACATGTTTATTCCATTGTATATTTTTTACAGTTATGATTTAGTAAAAATTATCTTATTAAATATTTAATACATAAAACATAAAACTAGTAAGTGATACATATTGTATATATTTTATATAAAGTATGTAATTATGAATTTAAGTGCAGAAAGTGAAAGATTTGAAAGAAATACTCATGTACATTTCTGTTCAAATGATGTAATTGTGAATATATTGGATGTATACAAGAGTACTAATCCTTATATCTAGGACTTGTAGATCCTTTGTACTTTTTATGTGTGCTTGAGTGTTTGAGTTACAAAATGCAATAAATATACTTATTTGTTTTAGACCATATTAACATTAAAAAAAATGTAGTAACAAAGAATTGGAAGTGTGGAAATTAAATTCAAACTGCTATTAATCTGTGATCATGTGTTAATGATGATTTTCTATTCCTGATCATTTTTTCAATAGCACTTTTTACCAAATTGGAATACTTAGCTATGCTTTCATGATATCCTTATGCTTTGTGCTATTCGTCTGACTAAAAATTTTGATCAGAACATTTTTTTACACTTATCATAGCTCTCAAACTGCTGCTGCTGAAAATTTCCACTTAATACAATACAGCTTGATCTTCATGCCAAATGTTGAATATCAGGAAGGAAAAACACACTGAGTATGGCGTTATTAACAGCTTTTTTATACTGCTAGCATTTTCAACAAATCTATGATCGTCATATTCAGGCAAACGAAGATTTAAAAACAAACACAAATGTTCTAATGTGAGATGGAACATATTATTTAAATTAAAAGTTTTAAAAACTTTTTAGAATTAAAAGCCGTCATGAACTACAAACTTTGACTACATTCAACGTTATGATGTGATGTGGTGCATGCATGGATGCAGATTCATGTTAATGGTGTGACAGTCTATGTAAATCACTGTTTAACCATTTGTACAGGGTGACTCATATGTTGGACAGGTCAAGGGTGGGAGTGTTGCATGATTCCGAGGTTGCTGCAAGGAGAGCTTTCCATATAAAGACGAGTTTCCAGTTGATACAGCCTCTGAGCAATGTTGCTTGAACCCGTAATGGGTTGTAGCTCTGTTCAAGCACCTTTTTTGAGGGTTTCATGGTGCACTGTATATTGGGTTACAACAAGAATACTCAAGAATGCTGCCTAGCTGAGCACCAGGATGATGTGGTGAAAGGAAAGTGCACCATGGAGCTCTCAAAAGGGGCTCCATGGTCCCCGTTACGGGCTCAACAACATTGCTCAGAGGCTGTAGCGACTGGAAATGCATTTTTATATGGGAAGCTCTCCTTGCAACAACCTCGAAATTGTGCAACACTACTACCCTTGACCTGCCCAACATATGGGTTGTCCTGTACAAATGGTTAAACAGCGATTTACATAGACTGTCACACCATTAACATGAATCTGCATCCATGCATGCACCACATCACATCATAACGTTGAATGTAGTCAAAGTTTGTAGTTCATGACGGCTTTTAATTCTAAAAAGTTTTTAAAACTTTTAATTTAAATAATATGTTCCATCTCACATTAGAATATTTGTGTTTGTTTTTAAATCTTTGTTTGCCTGAATATGATGATCGTAGATTTGTTGAAAATGCTAGCAGTATAAAAAGAGCTGTTAATAACGCCGTATTCAGTGTGTTTTTCCTTCCTGAAATTTCCACTTATGCATATAGTTACATATTTTTCATTATTGTCACACAGTTGTATGCATAAGGTGGCAATTTTTTACTCTTACATCATGGGGGGTCTGTCAGGATTGTTGCAAGAGGTAGTAATGATGTTTGTCAGATATGCATGATAAAATGACATACATGGTCTGGAAGTCACTACAATTTTGAACACTTATCTCCATAAGATAGTCCAATGCAATATGGACGTCAGCAATTTAAGTGGTTTTGCAGCTCTATTTTATGCCCAAAAAATACAGAAAAATTATTTTCTGATCTTTTTGAGAAGCACCTCAGCCCCTCCTGTTATTTACTGAATTTCCAGCTGAACTTATTTTAGATTAGCGCACACCATCACAAAGTTTGAAGGGCTCTCACAGGGAGCCCAATCAAGGGCATTGTTCTGAAAAAAAAAAAATAATAATATTTTATAAACTGAAAAATCTATGTTGATGAAATTTAGCAGGTACAAAGAAGACACATTACAGGATTTTTAAGAATCATCAAATTTGAGGAATGGCAATTACATGCAGTGTAATTACAAGTGAAAAACAATGGAAAATCATCACTTCACATATGTATGTTAATAAAAAAAGGCACATTTGATTATGTTTTAAGTTGTAGTGTTTCTATTTAAAAAACTAAATATTTCATACAATCATTAATATTTAAAGCATTTCAAAAAACAAAAAAAAAAAGGAATTTGTATTACGATTTTTGATCTTGTATGATTAAGTTGAAGAATGGATGACCAAAGCAGTGAAAGCATCAGCCTGCTATTCTGGAGAGCCAAGTTTGAGTCCTAATCAGATCCTTAATTTTCATGATAGATTGAATAAGATTTTGTGATTTATCATTCAGACAAACTCATAATGAGCATGAAAAAGACACTATTAGTGCCTTCAAACAGAAGGAGTTTAAAAATGGATGGGTAGAACTGAAATACTTAAATGTTTATTTGTAAAGTTATATTAGTCACCACACCTTCTTAATTGTAAATCGATAAGTCTATGCCAGTCTTCTTGAGTGTATTGTTTCTCAGTCTCAATCTTTGTAATGACCATTATATTTCATGAAATTGTATATTTTAATCTATCATGTCTATTATTCTATCTCACTTATTGTATTATATAAAGTTTTTATAATTCTTTCAATAATTAAATTTCAATTCAGTGCTAATATGTAACATCTGTTTATATAATAATAATAATTTGCTGTTATTTCTTATGGTATCTGTTCAGAAATAAAGCAAAATAAGCTTTATTACTGAGATACAGTTAGAATTTAATTAAATAGAAAAATTGATTTAAAATTTAAAGTATTTAAAAAAAAATTTTTTCCATAGTTTTAATGATTATTACAGAAAAAAAAATGATGAGTTAGTATTTATAATTTTCACATTGCTTAACTTTTACCTGACAAACTAAGCATTATAATAGATTACTACTGTTAAGTAATTAGAATTTCAGTTATATAGAAAAAGCTTATTTTTTCATATAATTTTAAATTCACAATTTTTTCTGTCATATTTTTCATCTATGTTATGGAACATTAGTAAAAAAACTAGATAAGTTTATATCTTACTCAGTATGTATAACAACACTCCTTTTAATCATATGATGACTACTCATTTATATTTGAAGGAAGTACCATGGCCAGCATAGGACAAATGTCATCTGTCAGTACAGTTGCAGCACCGCCGCCACCTCCACCTCCTCCACCTCCACCACCACCTCCAGTATCTGTGGCTCCACCTCCACCTCCACCTCCCATTATGAATCCAAAGGGTCCACCTTGTCCACCTCCAATGGTTGGTTTATTACAAGCACCACCAGAAGGTAAGTTTTTATAATATCTAAATATGTTCGCAAAATAAGTTGACATTTATTCTTTCTAAATATCAAGATTTTGTCACAAGATTTTTTCAAAAGCTATAAAAATGATATTGCATTTTTGTTGCTAATGTAAAATATTTATTGAACCTTTTATTATTATTATAATTACATTTACAGCAATGACAATCAAGAAAAAATTCCAAACTAAATATAAATTGCCAACTCTTAACTGGATAGCACTTAAACCTAACCAGGTCAAGGGAACAATATTTAACGAATTAGATGAAGATAAATTGTTTAATGTAAGTACAGCTATAAATCAAAATGTTATTTTGTATATAATTTTGCTATATTAATTTCTAATTTTTATATTATGTAGATAATAGATTTTAATGAATTTGAAGAGCAGTTCAAACTTGGTCTTCAAGGAGCGCTTCCTGACAGAAATGATGAAATTAACAGTAGTAAACGTTTTAAGGTAAGTAGCTTGTAGTTAATTTTTAAGTATAGCCATGCATTTTCTTATGTAGAACAGATTTTAAATCTTTTAAAATAACATTTTTACTATTTTGGTATTAATGATATTTTAAATGATTTATAAGATGTCATTTTTTAAAATATGCAATTGTAGATACTTGAAATCACTCTTTAGTCACTATTTATTGTAAAGTTTGGTTAAACAGAAATGATTGATGAGATTCAAGTAAATTTAAACATTTTTAATTTATTTTTTCTGTAAAATATGCTAAGTTTTAAATAGATTTATATTATATATTCAAAGATACATGTAATTTGATCTACCAAATTACACATATCTTTGATTGGTTTCAGCTGTTAACATTTTAAATGTTTATATCTCACAAACAAAACAGGATATAATAAGATTGATTCTAAATGCTACACAAACTACAGGGTAAGTCAAATGTATAAAAATATTGACGTATGCTACAAATTTCTAACATTCTCAAATGTAAAATTCATATACATATTATAATTTTGTTTAGAACCCGAAAATAACTGATCAAGATAGTTTGAAAGCATTTGTTTTTAAATAAATTTTGTTAATATGAATACAGTATTCTCAATTATCTTTCTAATACCACTGATAGTAATTTATGAAAATTAATGAAGATATACACCATAATCATTAAATATAAATACTGATAATTTGAAAAGGGTTGTTAAAAACTCATGCAAACATGAGAATAGATCAGGCTTTGAGTACTTTTTCTTGCAATTTTTTAAACTTCTTCAGTAATAGAAGTTTGCAATGTTGTAAGCAAAATTACTCAAAGCCTGATTAAATCTTTTCATGTTTGTGTAAGTTTTTAACAACCCTTTTCAAATTATCAGTATTCATATTTATTATTAGTAATCCTATCCTCCCCCTCAAAACATATCTCATCCAATTTGCCTTTTTCTGTTTTACCATGTTTGTAATTTCTTTTTCTCTGACCCTACTCAACACTTACTCATTACTAATTTTGATTTGGAGTGTACTTAAACTCACAAGTTCTGCTTATCATGCAGGTGCATTACTAATTACAATACTCAGATCTCTCTCTAATCTTCACTTCTAGACTAATTAATTTTAAAAGACATTATCTTACATTACTAATTTTTAACATCCTTCTCCATGTAAATATCTCAAGTATTTCAATTTATCAGAAGTAGTTTTCTCTTCAAACTTTAAATGAATGTAAGCTATAGCAGTATTAGATGTGATGGTATATTTATTGTAAATTAGTTAATTAATAAAATAACTAAATATTTATTATTTCTAGGCTTTTAAATTTCAAAAGATTTTTATCAATTCCAATTAGGAATTGATGAAAATCTTTTGAAATTTAAAAGCCTAGAAATACAATATAAATGAATAAATTGTAGAATTTTTAAATTTTATTTATTTATTTTAATGATTTGGTTAAGTTTAAAAATAATTTGACTTTAAAATTTCTTTAAGGTTCCAGAGAAAGTAACATTATTAGAACACAACAGACTAAGGAATATGGCAATATCCAGGCGGAAAGTTGAGCTATCATCTGATTTGGTTGTAAAAGCAATCAATGCTTTGGATTTGAAAACGTTAACTCAGGAATATGTAGAAATATTGTTAAGGATGATTCCAACTGATGCAGAGGTAATACTGATTCTCCTAAACATATTATTAATAAAATATTTTCTTCTTTAACTGTACAAATACATTTTTTATTCCAGTATTCTGGAAAATTTAATATTGTCAGTTCAAAGAACAGTTTTTCAAGAACATGACTGAATTTATTGAAATGATTAAAACTAACAAAAATAATAAAATGAATTATGATTACTTCAATTATTTTCTTATTTCTGTATTTAACAAAAGACAAACCTAAATTGCATTCTCAGACTGAAGGATTTTTAAATGCTTCCATTCAAACAATTTATTGGTAAAAGTTGGCATGGCTTTCTCCCATTGGACAAAGATCCAACTGACAAAAATTTATCAAATAGCAATATACAAAGAATTATATTTTCACATAAATAAATTCATTTTTATCAGCTACATTATACAATGTGTTCATGAGAATTACATTACCATTAAAAATGTATAAAGTATATCAGAAAACATATTTACATGAAGTAAACAATTGTTATATTTATGTTTTTACCCATTAAAGTAAAATGAAATGTAATGAACAGTGCTTATGTAAGTTGTAAAGTTTCATTTTATATATTAGGTAATGCCCAAAGTTGTTTTATTTTATACGATGCAATAGATTTTCAGAAATATATTGGGGCAGTCCAAATATAATTTTCATTTACAGTGGTGCCTCGTATAACGGACGCTGTGAACAATGGACTTTCTGTTTGGCTGTTATGTGACTCAAGCAACGGACTTTCTGCGAACAAATGCAAATGTTTCCACTCTTTTGCCGTTGCCAATGACAATCTGCTATTTTTATAATATACTAGCTTACCTGTCGCGCATTGCTGCGATCTCAGAAGAAAGGAAATTCAAGCAAACTCGTTATGATAAAATTCAATTTACATTTTATCATTTTTGTTGAAACTTATTATTATTATTCATTTTCATCGGAAAAACATTTCAAAGTGTCGTTTTAATTCTATTTATTTATTGGAGTGTTTGTGGATACACGATATTTTTTGTTTTTCTGTCTGGTGCGTACACGAATAAGTCAGAAGGATTTCTGACGCGTGAGCCGGCCACATACAGTTTTCCATGCCAAAAGCACTGTTTCTCCAAATTTAGCCCATACACTTGCAGCGATTGTCAGAAGCGCGATATTTCTCAATTTTATATATATATTTTTTAATCCTTTATAATTTTAATTATTTAATTGCTCCTTCGTCTCTTCCTTGGCACGTTGTGAAATTTCTGATAGTTGGATAATAAACCGTTTTATTGTAATTTGTCTTTTTAAATTATTTTGAATCGATATTAAAATTTGGAAAAGGGGGGATACCTAGATCGGTAAAATATGTGAATTTCTTCCTACAACTTCGGTTGTTGTTCGGGGTACAGTTAAGGTTTTAACAAAGTTCGAGCGAATACATAATTAGCAAAAAAAAGTTGAAATAAAGTAATTAAACAAAAATTATTACAAATATCGTAAGTAACAAATGCATATATAGAGATATTTTTTGAAAGGGAAAAATGGTCTTCACAATTTAAAATGGATCAAACACACTACTCGAATGCTCGTGTAAACGCGCGCCATCTATCGTAGGATAAATGTACTTCGCGGGAGTGTATTAAAAAATTAAAAAACTTTCCAAAGTTTCATGGCAATCGTACTATGCCACAAACCTTCGCTGGAGTATATTAAACAACTTCCCAAAGTTTCATGGCAATCGGATAAATGGTGTGGTAATGCATGAAGGACAGACACACATACATTCATTTTTATATATATAGATTAGTATTATTAGAATATATTATTAGTATATCTGAAGTACAGAGCTCCCGTTGGGATTCAGCTTGCTCCTTTGTTTATTATATACCTCACTTCAGTGCAGGGTATTTGCATTTATTTAAGTGTTGTGCAAATCATGGCTTCTAAAAAAACAGAAAGGTGATTTCAATTGAAACAAAGCAAGAAATCATCAGGAGTGAAAGTTGACAAAAACTTCCTTGTCAAATGGGGAGAGGTTCAGGAGTTTACTAACACTCATTATCCAAACACAGCTGGCCAACAGGCCAACAGGATCAATGATCTCTACAATGACTCTCTTGCCCGTCATTTCCAACAGGTGTTGAAGAAGAGAGAGAAACAGACCACCTTGGACATGTTTTTCAAGAAGCCAGCTGACAAAAAACAAAGGATGGAAGCTCCGGTAGACTCTCCTAAATCTGACTCGATAAAAAAACAATAAAGAGACCTGCTGCAATGTGTAAAAAGTCTGTATCTCTATGAATGTGTGAAAAAAGTGTTCCTCCACCTCCTCACAACATCTAACTACCCAGCATAATTGGTGACTGTTCCATTTTCATTTTTTTATGGTAGGTTATATTTGTGAAAAAAGATATGACTTTTAACTGGTGGCTATACTTTTAAGATGTGTCCTTGAAGAGAATGGTATCAGGATGCAAAACACTAAATTTTAAAGAGTAATATAATATAATTTGTTGATAAATTGGTCATTAGATAGTTTATGTCATTATATTATTAATGTATTGGTATAGAAAATATTAAGTTACAAAATACAGTAGAGCATCGATTATCCGAATCACTTGGGGACTGCGGTTGTTCAGAAAATCAATTTTTCGGATAACCGATTATGTACGAAAAAATACGTTATTAATATAGTATATTAGTATATTTCAATAATATTATATTAATATATTCCATGCTTAAATTTTTCTTGGTTGTGTGTCGCTCTTCATTGAACTTTTGTCAATGTTATGCCTAATGAAAATTTTTATAATAATAATCATGGCTATTGTATTGTTAAAAATTATTTCTTTATTTTGTACAAGCAAAATAAATATATTGAAAAATATAAAAACAAAAAAATTATACTCTAGAAGTTAATCTAGTATCAAAAACATTCGATTCAACACGACACAGTTCGACTGGAATGCTTTCGGTTAATCAGCATTTGGATAATCGATGCTCTACTGCAACGGTTCCCAACCTTTTTCGGGTGGCGACCCCTTTTTATAAAAGCCAAGTGACCCGCGACCCCGATACTATTGAAAAAGACATTTTTAATAAGGTAATTAAAAAAAACAACGAAATTAGTTTTTTAGTATAATTTTATTTTAAATTATGTCTAATGATTTAATGCGATTGTTGAAATTGTATGTTATTAACCAGCCTTAAAAGTCGCGGGTGAGTTTTTGTTAACGCCAACCTCATGTCATTCTCAACATTTAATTTATTCCTCTCAAACTCTCAACACATGATTCAACCAACTGTGACGGAATAGCGTACCTAGATTACACTTATTTTAATTTTTAAAAAATACAGTCGACCCCCCTCCCTATAACACGGTAGATACGTTCAGTTTTTTATGAAATTGATGTTTTAGGAAACCTTGCCAATCACAGCCCGACATGTGTGAAGTTTACGGACTACGGCTGTTTGAAAGGTTTTCTTCCATAAAATTAATCGATTCCTAGACTAATTCGACTCAACATTTCCAAAATACGTATATTTTTTGGGGAATAATCCGTATAAACTATGCTATAAACAAAAAATTGTAGGATTACTTACCGAGTGTGCACCGTTCGACGTCGCCATTGCTTAAGCTTGTTTTCGTCGCGGAGCAGCGCACCAAACGGCGGCCGCGTTTTCTGATAAATTATTTTTCTGCGAAAACTTCGTTGAACTTTGGAGACATCATTAATATAAATAATTTTTATGGCCGTTGAATAAGAAATGTTTCTTTCACAAGAAATGTATAAAATTAGTGCTGTATTAGACTTACGGTACCTAATTTACATAATGTACAGACGATAGTAAACTTAATTTACCCACCTAAACTCTCCATAGCGTGGCTTGGCTGCCCGATGACGTTTTACCGAATTATAGGTGTGTTTTTTACCATGTTTGTACGGACACCGTCGCAATTTTTTCGCCGTCATATAGGAATCCGAACTATAAGAACCCGTGTTATAGGGGGATCGACTGTATATCAAATTATTCAAACTTCAAGACACCATTAAAAATAAAAATTGCATTATAGTTAACATTTCTTTTTTAGTTAATTGTATAAGTTGGCGACCCCACAGAAAGCCCGTCGCGACCCACAACGGGGTCGCGACCCATAGGTTGGGAACCCGTACTCTACTGTATTACAAGACCAAATAACTTGTATTGTGAAGTGTCAGGTTACTACTGTAAGAGATCTGGGTTCAAATCCCATCTAAACTATTACAATTCTTCACTAGTAATGTGGTTTGGGGAATTTGTTCCATCACTTACCCATCATTTGTCAGAACTGCTCATAATGACTGTAATTTTGGCCTGCCATATATCCCTGATCTGCTGATTCCTCATATAAAATAATCAGTGAATTGAAATATTATGATAAAATTACAAATCTAAGAAAAATATTTTGATCATATAATTTACTTACACCTTTCATATTAATAACACTAAGAAGAGTTTTTAGTATTTTAATTGTGTATTTTTTTAATTGAACCTGATAATGTTCAATGTATATGGATGAAAATGTTTGTTTAAGTAAAGAATTTTTGATTTTGCTGTTTTTTTTTTTGGTGTGTTGCATAACTCTGTGAAATATTTCTTTTATGTCTAACTTTGTTATGTAGTTTCATTTTTACATTGTTTTCTTTTTGATAAAAAAAAATAAGAAATATTGCAGTATTCTTTTAGAGAACATAATCAGAATTTTAGAATATACTTTGGTTTTCTTCATTCCTTTCTTCACTTTCTTGGAATTAATTACTATAAAATTGACTCATTAAGAGATAAGTGTTCTCTCTGAATGACAAGATTAGCATTAGATTATTTGCTAATGAGTATAAAGTAATCACATTATATGTGAACAATTTAATCATTAATTTCTTTTTAAATTATCTGGATTTGAACAACAAAATATTATAATAATTTAAAATAAATTTTTCTAAAACCCTTCTTTAATAATAAAGTTTCTTCTAATTTTGGCTTTCACATATGTGTATAATTATGGTATCCATTAATCTTTAATCTATTAGGTTTTAAAGGTGAAGTGCTTTAGCTTTATTCAGCTGAATGATCTTATCTTATTATCTTATGATAATTGTACAGTTACTGATAACATTTGATGTTTTATAGTAGTATTGGTATTTTATATATTGTTTAACAATATAATACATAGGGAATAATTAATTTCAGTTATATAAAGAGTGAACAGAAAGTAACTAGGCATTGAGAAATTGTTATAAGTTTTGAAATAATAATGCATTTATAATAAAATTTTTGTATATGTATGTCAGTCAATGGAACTTTGTAATTCCTGCATCAGTAGTGTTGGCATGAAAGAGAGGGACCAAATGTGCAGTGGCAAAAAAGATGGCCAATCATTTGTCTATTCAGGAGTGAGCACAGATTGCTGCATGCTACAAGGTGTGGAAATCAGTGTTTGCTGTGCAGAAATGGGTGCTCATGGTGAACAGATGTTATGCCATAAGCCATCCAAATGGCCACAATGTTGCTTGTGGAAACACAGAGAAGTGGCTGTCCATCCACATCATGATCCTTAGTTGTTTGAGGAAGTTGGTGGATGATACCAGTGTCAACATTGAATTTTAAAGTATGCATCACGTTTCCAATTAATAATGTACTGTACATGTCAAATAATTTTAGTCATCTTTGTATTAGAAATATAGAAATTATAGTGATTTCCCAATGCCTAGTTACTTTCCATCCTCCTTGTAGAACTAAATTCTTCTACATGATTTTACTAACTTATATTTTATTAAAGCAATAATATAGCTTAAAATACTTAACAGATATGGTCTAATGTAATGCTTTAATAACTTTATGCAAAATGTTATTATTTTTTTTTTAATATAATAACTACAAATTATTATAAATTTCAGACTAAAGCTTATCGAGAATACGAAAGAGAGAGGAAACCAATCAATGCTTTAACAGATGAAGATAAATTTTTACTTCAGGTATTTCATCTCTTATAAAATTTCATAGCTAATTAATTTATTTGGCTATGAAATTTTCTTAATTTTTGAGTGAAATATATGAATATTTTTTGTTGAAATATTATCATACAAATTATGTAATTTTATATAAAATTCTAAATTTATAGGTAGAATATTTTGATTAAATCTAATAAAATTTAAGTATTATAGGTTCTATGATAAAATTGATTTAATTTCAAAATATTTATTCTAATTACTATAATACATGTTTTATTAGTTATATATACAGTTTAAAAGTAATAGAAAAAGAGATATACAAAACTTGTAAAATGATTTAAAAATATACTTGTATGCAAAACATGAAAAAGATTGATAGAATAGCAACCGCACACCGGGTTGTATATAGCAAAATATGACCTACTTGAATCTATAATCGGTGCATACAGAGTTTAATTTTCCCAAAACGAATGTTTTCTTAACCCCTTCTGGGTTCATTCTTCTTCAGATAAATCAGCTGGATCGAACATGAAGACGAGAAATTTGAACAAATCCAAACGCTGTTGAGTTTGAATTGTTTGGTTCGTTTGCATATTCTGTCACGTGACAGGTTTAAAAGTGCTCAAACTTAACGATCAATGTCCAAATGCAAGAGAAAGTTATGTCAAAATACATAACATACGTGAGAGTGAGATAAATAATTAATAATGATCTCACATGTTCCCCAGTAATTTTTCTTTATTTTTTACCACATAATAAATAGTATAATGCAATCACTCCTTATGCAGTAAGTTCTGCCATGCCATGGAAAGGCCAATCTCTTCTCTTGTATTAATGCATGAGGATGTGTCATATGCCTTAAAAATTTCCATCTCTTCTAACCATTTCAGGTGGTCAACGTGCAGTGTGGTAACAATTAATTGCGCTCTAGTGAAGTCTGCCACAATTTCGGGATCAGTGAAGTGGAGTGAGGTGGTGCATCTATTGCATTGTATATCAGAGATATGCTCTTTTAACCTAACCCCCAACAAACGTTTAGTCGATCCTATGTATACCAAATCCCTGTTAAACCCCTGTTATTCCTTAGCAGGATGTATAGACACCTGATAATCTCTCCACACTGGATCGGTCCTTTCCGTTACGTAAGATGTTGAACAAAGAACTGCATCTCCTGTATGTCAGGGTAACCTTTCATTTTTTTGTGATGGTGCTGTATAAAGACTTCAAGAGGGGGTTGAACATAAGAGGTATCCTCACATTTTCCATTGTCATGTTACCGCTTTGTGCGACTGTTATAATGTTGGAAGGGGCCTGCGCCTGTTTATGGCATTCCGAGATTTTCCATATGATATTGTGGTAACCATGGGACCTGGCAATGACTTCCAAACATTCTTTAACATTCATTTTGGAAGATTAAACTCTGTATGCACCAGTTATAGGTTCAAGTAGGTCATATTTTACTATAAGATGGATAGACTTTGTAACTAACGTTTTCTATAATTCAGTTTCATTTCCTCTCAAACTTGTGTATATAGTATAAATTATTTTTATTATAAAATTTTATGTGAATATCAGAAAATAAATTATAGTATAATATATGGTTCTACATCTTTATTTCACAGATAGCTGGTTTCTAAGGTAGCAGTCTACCATTTGGACCCAGGATTGAATCCAAATGGATTGGGGACAAACCCCAGGAATTTTTTGGGGAGTGATATGTTGGGCTTTGTACCTTGCTATGTTGGGCTATCTGGTTCCTCAGTGTGGGCCATAACAGACTTGCTAAAAAGGCCCTGTTAAAAAAAACCAAAAAAAACAGCATCATTTCATAAAAAGAAAGACTATATTTGCAACTTTTCAATCAGATGAAATTTTGAATATCTCTGGATTCTTACTACTACTGCTATTACTAAATTACAATATAAAAGGTCACATATAAGGCTAGATAAATCATTTAAAATATAGGCAAACAAAAATAATAATGTTAACTTTTGTTTAATATTACTAGTGAATATAGTGAATAATACAAGGTGATCTATAAAGATTGTTTGCTTCCCTGAATAAGATTTTTCCTCGATTGCTAAAGCCAAAACACCAGTGTAATATGTCCTATTAATATGCTAAGTCCTCATAGACAAGATATATAACAAATATAGTGAATATATTAATATATTCACTATATTCACTAGTAATATATTTAATATTTCTTAAATTCAAATGTACTGTGTTTCCCCGAAAATAAGACATCCTCTGAAAATAAGACATAGCAGAGGTTTTGCTGAATTGCTAAATATAAGACCTCCCCCTGAAAGTAAGACCTAGCGAAGTTTTTTTTAGTCCTAACGGTCATGGACAGATGGTTGAAAGTGTCCGTTGGTTTTTTGAAAGTACAGCAACTGATTGGTCAGCAGACAATCACACCACAAGGCATGATTTGCATAAGACTATGCCTTGGGAATCACAGATTTGCATAATGTTACGGCTGGTGATTGCTAATTGGTTGGCCGGGAATCACGCCACATGACATTTGCATAATGCTATGGTTCAGTAAGCACTAATTGGTCATCAAGCCCGATGTCGATGCTATAACAAGTTCAAGCGCGAGTGAGAAGTCCACTCCAGCCGGGAACTTTGTAAGTTTACTTCGATTCATGACTTTGGTTTTATTTAAGTTCAGTTCAACACGACCAGTTATATGCCACTCTCGTCTAAGTTTGACTTGGGAATTTTTTTGTTCAAAAATAAATGTGAATTCTTCATGGAAAAATAAGACATCCCCTAAAATAAGACCTAGCACATCTTTCAGAGCAAAAATTAATATAAGACACTGTCTTATTTTCAGGGAAACACAGTAAGAAGTCTGAAAGAAACAGGAGCAATAATGAAAATATTTTGTAACAAAGAAAATGCCAAATAAAACAGTATTTATAAATATGATACTACTACTGATAAAATAGCAGATTATATACTTTGATTCATTAAATAATTTTTTTGAGATGATTTATGTCTTATTATTACATAAACAAATATCACTAAATCTGATAAATTTGTAAAGCCAAACAACTAACGGATTACATCAGGCTACTTTTTTGATATTTAATTAATTATTTAGTAATTAATTAAATATCAAATATAATCGTGGAAAAGTAGCCTGATGTAATCCGGTAGTTGATTGACTTTATTGTTGCATTAAACCTTCATGACTCAGATCATCTAAATATATAAAATTACTTGTCGTGACTGACTGACTGACTGGGTGACTGATTGATTCATCATCCCCCAGGGCAAACCGCTTAACCTAAAAAGGTGAAATTTGGTACACAGTTAGGGTACATCATGGAAACGCACACTAAGAAGGGATTTTTCGAAATTCCCCCGCGTGGGGGAGAGAGAGCATTAAGGCTTAACCTGAAGAACAGCTTCTACTGTACTATTTTAGATGCGATTTTTTATTTACAACTATGTCTTTATTGAATACTTAGGTGTATTAAATTGACAACATTTCAGACATTGTTATAAATATTTTTATATATTTTGATTTTTTAACCAAATGTTCAAACCATTTTAAATTTGAATTTTTTGTTGCATATTGGTTTGATTATAGAACAATTGTAAATTCCAGAAAATTGATCAAATTGAAAACAGTTCATTTGATTCTCAGCAGTAGGTGTTATATAACAATTACTATGGTTGTTGAAATACTGAATATAAATGGTATTCACTTGCAAAATCCACATGGGCGAAGTCGCAGGTAACAGCTAGTTCAAATATAAAATATAGAACTATCATAGTTCAATGTTTGAATGATCAGTATTGTTCTTAAGGTCTGATGTAGTAATAAAATGTAAATCATATTAAAAAATTTTGTATCAAATGTTTCTGATTTTTCTATTGCAGATGACAAAAGTTGAAAGGCTTCCACAGAAATTAAACATTATGAGTTATATAGCAAATTTCTCTGAGAATATTCAGTTGATAACACCGGTATGTATAATATATCATCATCTTCAACTATTCAAAATGATCTTCAATTCACTTAATTAATTAATTTATTTATTACAAGAGATATCTTTAAGCAAATCTAGATATGTAATTATTAATGTTAAATATTTTTTAAGTGATTTGTCTTTTAAACAGATTATATAGAGTGGCCCAAAAGTCAGTTGACAAAGATTTATTTTTAAGAATGATTAAAATCAATATGGAGCAGTTACATGCTATCTGCTTTTCAGGAAAACAACAGAATTTTTAACATCTTATGTAATGGGAAGGACCCTCCTAACCCCAGCAGACAACCCAGAGTCTATAGTGTCCCTTTAAGAGATAATAGATTCAATAGGAACTTGATATATATAGGCTCTACTAAACTGTCCATGGGCATCAGAATGTAGGAACATCAGGCTGATATTCATCACGGGAGAACCTCCACAGCCCTTGCTATTTACATAACAGGCCCAGACATAGTAGCCAACTTTACTCGGGCCAATCTCCTTCTTGCTGCGCCTCCCAATGAACATCTCAAATGGTTAGAGGCTATACACATCTTTAAATTGTCCATCACAACCACATGCATACATTTTAAAGAGGAGATGCTTTTGTCAATGGCCTGACAAGAGTTGATTCACAGCATGCTCTAGCCGCTCATTGTATCCAGGCAGATCAACCCGTTGCTCATGCGCGACGTAAATTTTTTGTAAATCATTTCAAACTCGAGATCAAACTCTTAGTTACACATCATTCATTAATCGAATTCCGATCTAAAAACCATTAGAACCTGATGCAGAGCCCAAAGGGGTTCAAAAATTTTTGTTTTTTTGATGTTACCACACAGTAAATTGATTCTGTGCGCATAATTTTTTAAGTTAGTGTGGTGTGGTGAGTAGTTATTCAACAGAATTACAAATAATAATCAGTTATCTGACTTTTGAGTCCTCCTGTAAATTTATCACATGAAAACATATATTTAATAGCTTTTAAAATCTTAATTAAAGTTTTAATGTGTTAATGTTTTAGCAAGTTCATGCTTTAACTGCTGCTTCAAGATCCATCAAGAATTCTAGAAGAATTAGGAAATTGTTGGAAGTAAGTTTCTGTTTTCATGTTTGTTTTAATAATTAATTGATTTAATTTTTCATAAATTAATTTATATATATGTATGAAATTAGGTAATTTTAGCATTTGGAAACTATATGAATAGTGCTAAACGAGGTCCTGCATATGGTTTCAAGTTGCAAAGTTTAGATATGGTATGTTCCATTTGTTAATAATGTAAATAATAATGGTAATAGTTCATAATGGTTATGAAGGATTATTAAAGTTAATAATTCTTAAATGATTTGCATTGATTTATTATTATTTTTAGCTCGCAGATACTAAATCGGCAGATAGGAAAATTTCCCTTCTACATTACATTGTAGATACGATACATCGGAAATTTCCAGATGTTGCAAGCTTTGATTCAGAACTTAGATTTGTGGAGAAAGCATCATCTGGTAATTCTAATAATAATATAAATGTATTATTTAAATGAGAATAAAATCATTAAGTAATAACATTTTTTTTTTATAGTTTCATTAGAAAATGTTCTGACAGATGTTCAAGAATTAGAGAAAGGAATGGATCTTTGTAAAAAGGAAATGACTCTTCGTGGCGATGCCAAAGATGCAGCAGTGTTACGAGAATTTATATCCACATCAGAAGAAAAATTGAGAAAGCTCAAAGCAGATACTAAAATTGCACAGGTAAAAATTAATTTTTTGAATAAATGAATTATAATTTATTGAAGAATGTTCTGGTCTTTCTGAATCAAAGTGCTTCATGTATAAATTTAAAAAATCAGTAATAAAATTAAAACTTTACATTAATACAGCGCTGTCCAACTGGCGGCCCGCGGGCTGTATACGGCCCGCCAAATAATTTTTACGGCCCGCGAGTACATTTTACTATGAATAAATTTATGTTACTAAATTATTATTATTAATATTAAAATTATTTTACTACCGTGTTTCCCCGAAAATAAGACAGTGTCTTATATTAATTTTTGCTCTGAAAAATGCGCTAGGTCTTATTTTCAGGGAATGTCTTATTTTTCCAGGAAGAAGAATTCACATTTATTATTGAACAAAAAAATTCCCAAGTCGAACTTAGACGAGAGTGACGTATATCCGGTGTGTCGAACTGTCGCCTTTTTATAGCGTCAACATCGGACTCGCTGACCAATTAGTGCTCACTGAACCGTAGCACTATGCAAATGTCATGTGGCGTGATTCCCAGCCGACCAATTAGCCATCACCAACCTTCTTGGCCCCCGAAATGTTTGGTGAAGAAAATATGGCCCGCGGGCTATGATAAGTTGGACAGCGCTGCATTAATATATAAATTATGAACAGTTTTATGCCATAAAAAGTATATAATATTTGAGTAATTATTTTTTAAAATATCAAAACATAATGAAAACTTTTATTTCTGTTTAAACAAAGTAAATCTTTAAGTTGCAGTTGATGATGATCAAACAGCTTTCATGATCAATACATTTGTTGGATACATAGATTAGATTAGATTAGTCATGTAGTAATTTGTTAGCCTCCCACCTGATTTAAACTCAATTCAGACATCACAATTTATCATAGATAGTAGGTATTGGAATATTGTTCTCATTCCTCACTCATACTTGTTATGCCTATCTATAATGGATCATACCTAATCCTTAATGTGCACAATAAGTTGGTTTCAAGTAAACCAAAATTATGTAAGTTGAAACTAATATTTATATGGAAAATGAAACATTCCTGTTCTTATTAACTGATATAAAATAAAATTTCATTTTTTTATCTTCTTTCCTTGTTTATAAAGAAACAATTTCCATCCATTCTCTTTCCATTCCATTTATTATTTCTTGATTCCAAATGTTTCTAATTTGTTTGCTGAGACAGCAATGATTTTATCTCAGTAAAATTTATAACTTGTTAATTTTTATTTAATTCTTTATAAATTTTCTGATACAAAAATGCATCTTAATGCCTATTGCATGAAGTCAAGACAAAACACAAATTTCACTCTTTAAACATGCAAACTGAAAGTAGTAGTGATACAATTACAGTAAATGTGTTGCTTAGTAAAGCTGCTTTGCTAAAAGGCAATTTGGCAACTTTTAATTTAGCCAATACTTCCAAAAATATCATACAAAATTCAATACAACTGCCATGAATAGCAAAATATTTGTAAATACTTTAGCTGTTTATAATTATTACAATTACAAAAACTTTTGCTTGTTTTACTTTACTTCAACTTTAGCTTAAAAGCACTTAAAACTTTAGCTTGTTTAGCTTTGTTTTACTTTAACTTTAGTTTAAAATTACTTTAGCTGTTTACAATTACAAAAATATTTACAAAGTATTTGTAAATATTTTAGCTGAGCTGATGATTCCTATTCTCTAATCTACTCTTAATATTATAATTTTTATAACATCTGCTACATATTTTGCATTATATCTGAGTCAAACTAGAGCAGTGTCAAAGGAGTTGTTGCTTTCAAAAATATAAAGTACTTAAAGTAATTTACAGCAGCTTAACTAAAGCTACTTTACCAGACAATACATCCAATATAATAGTTAACTTTATCCTAAACATTATCAATGAAAATACTGTATTAAACTGAAATTGTGCTAAAAAGTAATTAATATTTTCCAGGAAGCCTATTCAGACTGTGTTGAATACTTTGGAGAAAGTGCGAGAACGCTTGCAGCAAATACTTTCTTTGCTGTATTTGTTCGTTTTAATAAAGCATTTAATGTAAATAAACTTTTCTCTTACCAAAATAATGGCTTTGTAATTAAAAAAAAGTAGGCTTGATATAAACTTATTTTGTCTTATTCAGCAAGCTGCTCAAGAAAATGAACATAGAAGAAAATTACAAGAAGCAGCAGCGAGAGAAGCTCAAAGAAACCCTTCAGAACAGACAGAAAAGAAAAATTTATTAAATTCTAGGAAAAATACACAAGTAAGTTCTATTTTTAAAATATCATGTGTTAAATTTGTAACTAACTTTTTAATGAATGAATAAACAAAGAATTATGATGATTGTATTTTATTTTACTAATCATATCATTATATTTTCTTTGATAGTGTTATACTATTAAAAGTGCATGCATTTACTCATTTGCTTTTTGTCATCTATTCACAATTGATTAAATTAGATCAAGTAAAATTTCAAGACATTTGAAATTGATTTTCAACTAATTTTGGAAAATTGAATAAGGTTCACTTGTGTTTCTTTGCACTATTTAACACAAAAATAGAAACAGTTTGTTAAGATGTATTTTTACAGTTAACAGTTTTGAATGCAACTACAGTATATCAAAAACCATAATTCTTCATCACTTTTACATGCACATCATGTATTGTCTAATATAGAAGTTAATGTGTAAATTAAGTGTTAATCACTCTCAATATCACAGCCAATTAGTTTGCTTCCAAAGCATTTCAAAGAAGCTTGTTGGTCCAATTATATTACTTTAGCATCATCAAAATAAGGTAATTCTGATTAATGAGACAATGAAATGTTTATAACTTGAAGCAATTTTCCAAATAAGTACCAAACAAGTATAAAAGACCTAAATAGAAACAAAAACACCTACACCAACATACCTCAAATTAACACATTTTTACTAATGTTTTGTTCTGCTTATAACAGACATCTTCAGGTATATATAATGCAGAACAAAACGGACAAATTAAAATCAAACAAGTTTTTATGAACAAATTACAAATTCAGTTTAAAATTATTTCTCAAAACAAATAACATCGAGTTTAAAATTATTTCCCAAATAAAGTAAGTTTTTAGTTTAAAATTTTTTTTTATGTAAATAACTAATTTAGTTTAAATTTTCATTTATGTAAGTTCATATCTGCATGGCCTAATGAGATGTATATGAGAAAAACTTTATGAGAATTTAAAGAAAGCACACCTTGCTCTGGATAGTGTGTCTGTTTCTTTGAAATTAATTCCTACTCCATTTTTAAGTGCCTTATAGATTTCAATTGACTCAAGGCATTTAAGATGTGTCCTATTGGGAAACCCTGTGTTGCAATATTGTGTCCTATAAATCATCCTCACATCCAGCATAAGTGGCTAAGGCTGTGGATGAAAGCTTTTTTTTTAATCATATATTCATGTTCTTTCATTCTCATAGCAAGACCCCTCAGAGTTTCCCCAATATATAATAATGTTTATGTCAATTCTGCCATCACACACTGGTGCTGTATAAATACCAGGCGAATAAGAGTCAGATATAGAGTTCTTATTATTTCTTATGAGTAAAAAAAATTGTCTATATGGTAAATAGTTGTTCTGGCAATTTCTCTATAGATTTTAGATAGTGTCTTAATATACATTATTACCATCAGTAGTCTCTCCTATGCATGGGTCTGTTCTCAGGCTGTAGATATTGTTTTGTGAGTGTTTTAACTAGAGAGAGTAATGTCTGTTATAAATAGATGAAAACATTAATAAAAAGTTTAATACTAAGCTCATCCAGAAAGTAAGTACTGTTTGGGTATTAAAAAGATTTGCAGTTTGTTTTCATTTGTATTTTATTACAGAAAAATCTACATACCTTAAACTACTTTTCAATATATTCACCATGTGAATTAAGGCATGCGTCATATCTTGGCACTAATTACAACATACCCACTTCATAGAATTTGGCTGCCTGCGACCTGAACCAGTTCTGGACGTTTATCTTGATCTCATCATCACTTGAAAAGTGGTGGCTGGTAAGAAATTTCATGAGATGAGAAAACAAATGGAAGTCAGATGGAGCTAGGTCTGGACTATAAGGAGGGTGACAGAATTGTTCCCGCAAAATGAATCAGTAGCATCGGTGTTATGCATGCAGTATGTGGTCGCACGTTGTCATGCATGAACACAATGTCAGAGGTCAGCAGTCCATGCGTTTTCTTCTGTATCATGCACCGTAACTTCTTCAATGTCTCACAATAAAAACTGTAGCATTGATTGTTGTGCCTCGTTCCATCCAGTCCACTAACAAAATTCCTTGTCAGTCCTAAAACACAGTGCACATGATTTTTCTTAAAGAAAGAGGTGGCTTTGCTTTCTTGGACTTTGGGGAACCACTATGCCGCCATTCCAGTGACTGTCATTTCATTTCAGGTGTCTTGTAACAAATCCATGTTTTATCGCCTGTGACAATCCTTTTCAAAAAATCATTTCCTTCTGTCGCATAATGCTGTAAAAATTCCAAGGCTGCTCCAATGCATTTCCATTTTTGAGCATCCATTAGTGCTTTCGGTACCCATCACGCACACAATTTTTTGTAGTGCAAATGTTCAGTCACAATTTCGTGTAATAAAGATTGTGAAATGTTTTGAAAAAGCATTGACGAATCAAAAATTATGAATTGCCTATTGGAACGAATTTGTTCATTGATGCAGTGCACCAATTCTTTGGTGATCAATGACGGGCATCCACTGCGCTCCTCATCATGGACATTTTCCCTTTCTTCGTTAAACATCCTAACCCACTTTCTCACCATACCTTCAGTCATTGCATTCTCTCCATAAGTTTCACTTATCTGATGATAAATTTCACAAGGTCAAACATTTCTTGCATTCAAAACTTGATAACGGCTCTTATTTCACAGCTGGCGGGCCGATCGTTTTAAACATGATTGCCAACAAAGAATGACTTCAAATGTTAACGTAATCAAAACAAAATGGCTATGATAATTCGTTCTGGAATTGAAGGAAGTAACTACGCTTGTGCGACTTTTGTGCTGTCAGATGTGCAGGAGATATGTGCAAACAGTACTTACTTTCTTGATCAGCTTAGTAAAATGTAAAAGAAACTAAAAATGTTTTCACTTTTTTGTCATGTCCAATCACCAGGAACAACTATCTTCCACTGTATAGATGACCTTTCTTTAGAGGCTACACCTCTGCAAAAAAATGCAAAACAGTCTAAAAGTTCACAGGTGACAATCCCAGCACAATTAAAAATATAAAATTTTTTTGTAAAAAAGACATTTTATATTTTTAATTGTGCTGTTTTAGACTGTTTTGCATTTTTTTGCAGAGGCATAGCCTCTAAAGAAAGGTCGTCTCTGCAGTGGAAGATAGTTGTTCCTGGTGATTGGACATGATGAAAAAGTGAAGACATTTTTAGTCTCTTTTACGTTTTATTAAATTGTAAATTCGTCAGCCCCTTTTTTACATTTGAGGTATGCTGGTATAGGTGTTTTTGTTTGTGTTTAAACTAATTTATCCCAGTATTGGAAAGGTATTGTAAAAGATCGATTTTAATATTAATATTTGATGCTGTAGCCAAGAAGCTTTGAAAACATTTATCTGGTAATTAATATTCTTAGTTATTGTCATTTGTTTTTGGTGTTGAAGAATCCATATGTTAATTAATATGCTTTCTTACCACACCGGGTTGTATAACTTCACAACCAACAACTGTCTACCCTTAACCATTAACCGGTGCGAAATTCTTTAAAATCGGCGAACGTTTTCGATTCCCCTCCTGGGATCTTCTTCAGGCTTACTTCTTTATATCTTTCGTTATAACCGGATTCTTTAATTCGAATGTTTTTGAAAAAACGTAACGTGCTATTTTTCGAAAAAATTCCGAAAACGGAAGGAATCCACTTGTTATTTCAAATGTAATTTTCTACCAATGGGGAATCATTGTGTGCATTACGTCATAAAACTTGTCTTATAAACTATATTATGATTTATCGTCAATTAAAAATTGCCATGCTGCAGAGAGATTTATTTCTTCTTTGAAATTAATGCATGCGGATTTACGATCGGCTTTAAATATTTCCAGTGCCTCCAAAGTTCTTAGTTGTTCCGTGTGTTGGGTGGTGCGAATAACATGCGCTTCATCGAAGAAAGGTGTGATGTCCGGGTTTGTCGCATACGTAGATAGGGCCGTCGTACACTTATTATGTTCGATGTCTGATTTATGTTCTTTTAATCTTGTGGCCAATGAACGCTTGGTGGATCCGATATACACTAAAGGTCTATCCCATCTGTTATCTTTTAATGGAATACTGTATATCCCTGGCAGCCTATTTGGGTCTGAATTGTCCTTCCCGTTCCTTAATAAACTGTAAATGGTTGGGTTTCTTTTGTATGCAATATTAATTCCTTTTATTTTTGCAATTTTTCCGTACATTGCCTTTAGATGCGGGTTATACGTTATTGGTACCCTCTGTACGTTATCCTCATTTCCATTATTTAGTACCTCTACCTTTTCCTCTGCACCATTCTGCAAACGCCGGTGCTGCTTACATAAACCTTCTATCATATTGTTGTAACCGTGCTCTTTAGCTATCTTCCTAATGTAATTTAATTCTCTTTGGAGGGCTTGGGAGGTGGAAGAATGCGTAAATGCTCTTTCTACTAATGCTCTAAACGCCGCTATCTTGTAAGAGAATGGGTCACAAGATTCGTAAGGTATATACGTTGATATCGCTGTAGGTTTTCTGTATACATAAGTTTGTATCTCCCTTTCTTTCATATCTATGCCAATATCCAAGAAGTGTACTTTATCCTTACTCTGTTGTTCCAGTTCCACTACGAGGCCGTATGGGTTGTTGTTCATAGATTTTATAAAATGATCTATATCTGGCTCATCTTTCCAAAGGATAATTATATCGTCGATATATCTTCTGTACAGGCTGATATTTGGGAGAAAGGAGGGAAGGACTTTACTTTCTAATATCCTGATAACCATTTCGCATAAATCTCCAGATAATGGACTTCCCATTGGCACTCCTCTTCCTTGCTCGTATATGATGTTCTTAAATTGGAATACTGAATTGTAACAAGCCAGATGCGCTAACTCGAGTATGTCGTTGTGCAATGTGGTGTCCTCTATGCTAGAGAGAAGGAAGTCCCTGAGCGCACAAAAACATGGTTCAATTTTTATTGAAGGATATAAGGATCTAAAATCCAATATTGTCGCGCAATCCGGAGTGTCTATCTTCTTAAGTTCTTTTAAAAGCTCCATTGGACTTTCTATTTTGAACTGGTAATCTTTCAAGTGCATGGATAGCCTGTTATGTATTAACTTTTCTAACTTAATGGTGGGAGCTCTCCCTTTGTCTACTATAGGTCTAAGTTGTTGCCCTTGTTTATGCGTCTTAGCAAAGGCGAACAGCTTCGGCACGTCTGGAGCATCTACAATTATGTTCTTCATACCTATGTTCTTGGCTAGTTTCGTATTAGTAAATCGTTTAATTCTTGCTTGCATCTTATCTACCCAGCTTGTTTCCATTTCAGAACACTGAGTTAATGAGAGGTATTCAATTAATCCTTTCTCATATGTCTCTCTTTTCATTAGGACCATTACTTTGGCTTTATCTGCCCTGGTCAAAACAATGTTATTATTCTTTATCCATTTGGAAGCTCTATTCAATTTATGCTTCATCTGTATAACCTCCTTAGATTCCTTCGTGGTACCGATCTTAATTGATGCTAGCCATCTGTAGTACTCTTTTTGGTTATGCGAGAGTCCCTTCAGTAGATTTTCCAAGTCAGGGATGAAAGAGTTACTTGCTTCCTTAGGGGAAGGAGGAGGCACGTATGCTGGACCATACCTCAGTACCTGCTTAACAAAGTCCGGAACTAGTATGTTATCCCAAGTCACGAATGGACAGTTTACCATATTAGATCTTTTAGGTACTTGAAATCGTAAAATCCACTGCATTTTCTGAATATAATGATTTTTCCAGTTGTATCTCAATCTATTATAGATGTTGACTTGTTTTGCATTTTCGACTACCAATAGATTCTGATCTTGTTGAAATAAGGAATCTTCTATACGAATAATCTTGGCAATCAAAGAATATACTTTCCTTCTTGTGAGTCTAATAGCTCTTGTTAAACACATCCATCTCACCTTATTAATAATGGGTTCATTACCAGTGGGAAGGTGCACACAGAAAATTGAAACCCAACCATTTACAGTTTATTAAGGAACGGGAAGGACAATTCAGACCCAAATAGGCTGCCAGGGATATACAGTATTCCATTAAAAGATAACAGATGGGATAGACCTTTAGTGTATATCGGATCCACCAAGCGTTCATTGGCCACAAGATTAAAAGAACATAAATCAGACATCGAACATAATAAGTGTACGACGGCCCTATCTACGTATGCGACAAACTCGGACATCACACCTTTCTTCGATGAAGCGCATGTTATTCGCACCACCCAACACACGGAACAACTAAGAACTTTGGAGGCACTGGAAATATTTAAAGCCGATCGTAAATCCGCATGCATTAATTTCAAAGAAGAAATAAATCTCTCTGCAGCATGGCAATTTTTAATTGACGATAAATCATAATATAGTTTATAAGACAAGTTTTATGACGTAATGCACACAATGATTCCCCATTGGTAGAAAATTACATTTGAAATAACAAGTGGATTCCTTCCGTTTTCGGAATTTTTTCGAAAAATAGCACGTTACGTTTTTTCAAAAACATTCGAATTAAAGAATCCGGTTATAACGAAAGATATAAAGAAGTAAGCCTGAAGAAGATCCCAGGAGGGGAATCGAAAACGTTCGCCGATTTTAAAGAATTTCGCACCGGTTAATGGTTAAGAGTAGACAGTTGTTGGTTGTGAAGAATCCATATGTTCTTCCAAATTTATATAGTTAATGCAAAAGAATGACAAAACACTCATTTCACAATTAAGTACAGTATAGCCATCATAACACATCCAAAATAACAAATTATTTACTATTTTTATACTAATTTAGATCTTCCCCAGTGTTTCAAAATGAACTCTTTATTCAAATATTCTGCTTGTCAAAAACTCTATAAGACAACATTCTAGAGTCCAATTTGTGTGTCGTGTTCATTCTCAAACATTCTGTATTTTAAAAGACAAATTAAATTCTGCAAGTTTGTCGATGCAGAATATTTACATTTCAATAAACTCCTTTGGATTGTAAGTTTTTCATTGTTTTCTAATTTAACTGTTATTAATGCATTAATATATATACAATAAGATATCGCATATCTTAAATTGATAAATTAATAATATACACGTATATAAATTTTAGTAAAATCTACACATACACTATGAAAGCTTGGATTATATATATTATTTGGAACTTTAAGAATAAATTTGTGAAACAGTTATTGTGGTATGTCCATTAATTCAATACTTCAGTAAACTTTCATTCTGCAAGAGACATCTACTAAATGTTGGGCTTCAATTTGAAAAATTGTAGACCTATAAATTCCCACTGTTGTCTGTATGTCTGTCTGTCTTTCCTTAATTTCAAAAACTGAGTTATATAGTTGAAAGACAAGACTAGATATGAAAAGTTTAGGGGAGGAGGCTCCAATTAAACTATATATAAATTTCCAATGCAAATCTGACGTTGTGTTATTTCAATTTAAAAATTTTTTCCTAAATTGTTAGATAGATGACCAGCATGACTCTATTGTTAAAGAAAAAGTATGATGTACTGTACAGGGGTAAGCCACTACTAATTTTAAGATGGAGAGCATATATTTTAAACAAAATAAATTTAAAATGTAATTAAAAATTGCAGCCCAGCATTGTGATGTCGTCAATAAATAATTGCTGGTTCTGAAATAATTTTAAATTATATCTGAAACATTAAAGTGCAATTATTAAATATGGGATGTTTAAAAATCTTTATGAAACAAATATATACAGTTTACCCTCCAATAGCTGCCACCATTTAAAAGTGATATGCATTCCAAAAAATGGGCATCATTTTTTAGCAACATTTCTTTTTGAAATGCTTACAAAATAATCTCCAAACAATGACCATTTTTTTGTTTTCATCAGTATTTGTTGTTTTTAAAAAATTGACTGTATGTTATATTTATGTAAACATGATTTTATTATAAATTAATCATGTTTAACAACAGTATTTTATATATAATAAACATATAAAGTCTAGAGTCATCTTAATAAATAGTGCTTAACAGTAGTTTTTGTTGAAGATTTATTTTATTTAGTATTATTTAATGAGCATAATACAGTTTTTTGTTAATTAAGATTTTTAGAAAGTAAAACTTAAATTATTCCATTCTTTAAATTTAAAATATGAGCTAGNTTATGTTTATATATATATATGAATTATGCAACTTTTAATTTATTTGAAAGGAGGCTGTTATTAATGAACTAAGAAACAAAGCTCGTCAGGTTAAAGAGAAGAGACTCCTTAAACAAGATGAAGTATACAATGGAGCATTAGAGGATATTTTGTTGGGTATGAATTGACTTAAATTCAGTTGATATTAACTCAATTGAAGACAGTAAATTTTATCAAAATTAAGATACTATTTTAGGCTCTATTTTACCAATTTTTGATAATTGAAGTGGTTATTATTATTATTATCCAATAATTACTGAATTATAAATTTAATCCAATTAAAATTAATCACCACTTCTTCTAAGTAACTTTTAAAAACAATATGATATATTTTAATTTTAATCTAAATGTGTTATAGACTATTTGTAGACTGGCCAGATGGCTAAGTCAGTTAAAGCATCAATCTAATGATCTGGGACTGAATTTGGGTGATTGAAAGATCCCCAGAAATTTTTCTGGGGTGGTCTCTCTCAGATACACTTGGTCTTGTCCTTCACTACTCAGCTGTCCTGATGTGGATCTGGCCAAATACATGGGCTGAAAAGAGCCTTTTTATTGCCCATAGGGTAGAGAGACCCAAAAGAATTATTTGTATAAATATATAAATTGTATTGTAGCTATAAATGATGTAAATTTTATATTTATGCAATTTTAACGTACTTGCAGGCCTCAAAAACGAACCTTATAGAAGAGCGGATGCCGTCCGTAGGAGTCAGAGAAGAAAGCAAGAAAATGTGAGACTGTCACGAGGAATGGATGACTTTGATCTATAGAACTGTGAAATATTGGATTACAAAGATTTTCAAAAAACAACGTGCAATGAAAATATAGACATGGTCTGTACTGTAAAAAGTCTTGGCACCTGTAAGATTTATTACGTTGTTTTTTGTAACAAAAAATTACGCCGTGCACAAATTGTGCCTTTTATTAGGCCCTGCATCCATAGGCAGATTTTGGCCTTACCTAGAAAGTGCGTCTTGCACTCCGTGCCTTGAACTTACCCATCCTTTTTACTCTTTATCCATGTACTGACATGAAAATAGAAAATTGCATGGAGTGAACGAGCAATGAGGTTTGCAGTGTTGTACAGTGTTTGCATAGCTTGACCACAAATTTAATTGTTAGACTCGGCAAGTTGCTTCTGTTGTGTGTTTGTGTGTTGACTATTATCTGAGACAAATACAGACTACTATTTTTCCTCTACGGAATGTATGCATATCATGTTTACTGCAGCATAAATATATAGATTTGGCTGCCGTTTGGAATGATAACAATGCATTTATCTGTTACAGAGCCAACAATCTTAAGAAAATTATGGAAATTATATTCGAATGTCTATTTTGACTCCTCTTTGATAAAGATCAATTAAATGTTTATCTGCTTGCTACAGACGTTTGGAAAAAGGATCAAATTATTCAAATATCAAAGCATTGTTAATAATTTTAAAATTGTTAAGAGTGAGATTTTATCCAAATCAATAGATAAAATAAAACGATCTCATCAGTATCTGAACAAAGAAATCTGAAAAACTAGTTAATCATTATCATTGTTACTATTGAAAATCATGTTATTTAATGTAGAAGACATCAAAAGCAACAAATCAATATAACAAGAACTGCAAATTACAGATTTTATCATGTATACATTTTAATATTTTACACAAACAGTTATATTGATATCTAACATCATACAAAAAGAATTTGTATAGATTTTGTTTTGAAATTAAGAATTTTTGGAGACAGTAGAACAAATAATGTCAATATTTAAATTAGTTATTAATTTTGCACCATGGACATGGTATTTAAATAAACCAGACTTCAGAGAAGTTCATCATCAGCAATAAAAATTTTATGTATTTTCATATGCCGTATTTTGAAGGATGATTCGAAACTTAGCAGCAGTTTGAGCTGTAGCATTTTTTATGCTTTGTGTAAATTACACTGATTTTTATTCACATAGATATAAATAATTGTAAAAGAAAAAGTATATATGCTTGAAAATAATTCATTATCCATCCAGAATATTTGATAAAAATGTTTGATATGATTTTATAAGAACTTCAGTGCAATAATTTATTTTTTGAATGGTAACTAACTATTCAAAGTAGAAAAATTGTCCATGTTTCCTTGTCTTTTAAGAAATTTGAGTTTGAGAATAATTTTTCTTTATTTTCTACTTTACATGGATACAATACAACATTCGACAAGTTTTTTTTTTTTTTTTTTAATGTGAAAAGTCATTTCAAACATTTTTAAGATGTCCATGATAATTCTATTTTATCACTTTATATATGCTATAAATTGCAATTTGTTATGGATATACAGCAATTCAGTTTATTGAAATGTAAAAAAAGAAATAGATGTCGATCATGTACAAAATTACATTTCTACTTGTGCCTATCAGGAAACTGAAGGGGACCAATTCATATGCCACATAATAACAAAATGAGTTAGTGAATCTTTCACAAGCAGTGCGGCGTTTTTTTCAGTGCCAGATTTATTTATGTACGTGACAATCAATTGTCATTTCTGGTAAAATATTTTTGTAGGCCTTCTTAAGCTTATAATGTTTTATATATAATTTGTTGAATTTTATACTGTATATTTCCCTGTGAAATTTGTCATTGTAAATCAGTTCATGATTAAATAAATCACTTGTGTTCTTTTATCTGTCATCTTTTGTAATAGAAATACACAATATCCATGTTTCCTCAACATTACATTAATATTTTACTACATAGTAGGAAAGTGCATTGTTTCAATATAACATAATTTATGCATAAAACTGTTAAAAATGTAATTTCTATTGATCTTGTTTCAAAAATAAAAGATACAATAGAATCTGCTTATTATAATTGTGGATATTGCTGTCTGTCATCTAATCTTTATCAGAATTAGCTATCAAAACTATACAATAGACAAAATTTTGAGTTTTAGTTAATCATTTTCAGGTATGAAAAGAAAGCCAAAAAATGCCTATCATAACCCTCAATATACAGGGTGCATAGGAAAGTCCCTTTAACCAGAAAATTCTTGCAAACGGAGAGAGCTACAGCTATGCAAGTGAGGTTACGATATAATAATACATACTTATGTCAATAAAGTTTGATAACATCACACAAAAAACAATGGAAAGACAAACTGTCACACAGTCATGACAAGTTAATGTTGAGTATGTTTGAAAAGTTTGCCATTGCTCATGATACACGGCATTGTTATCAAACTGTATTGACGTATGTATTTTATGCAATAAATTGTGCATATTTCTTCATACCTATGACTATTCCTTTCAAACGTTTACACAAAATGGCGTGCATCGCTTTCGGACATTTTTGGGTATACAGGCGACAATTTATCTTATCTGTGTGAACCACATGTCATTTCATACTAAGCAATTGATGTTCTAAAACTTTCTAATTGGAAAGTTTGCTCTATCTGTTTTTGTTTTGCACTGCCTATCATCCAAATTTTTCCACTAGGGGCACTGCTATTGTTTGCATTAGGTTGGGCATAGTCACTTTACTATACCGTTACCTCACTTGCATAGCTGTAGTTCTCTCCATTTGCAAGAATTTTCCGGTTAAAGGAACTTTCCTATGCACCCTGTATAGTTGATAACAAACACTATAATTCATTATTCTTAAGACCAATTCTTTTAAAACTTTAACTTTGGAATGAATCAACAAAAAAATATTCTCCTATAAAAAAATTTAAGAAAACAGGTGAAAAATGAGGCTTTTGACACTTAAAATAATGAGCCATATGAAACAAACAGTTGTATAGAGATAATGTAATAAATCTGTAGGTAGTTTCAAAATGAAATTTATATCATACCAGTTTTTAATAGATGATAGTATTATGTTTTGAATCTCAATATGATGAAGCAGTTCTAATCATTCAATAAACATTATCTTAATGCTTTATTGTTCTTAATGGCTGTAGCCATATTTAAAAAAGAAAAACCAAAAACATGTACAAGTTGGCAGTACTTTAAAATCATAAATATAAACAACGGTACAGCAATCTTAAACACATTAACTTACCATTTCATATTGCATCTTCCTGTACTTCAAGTACATAGTTCTTAAGCTATTATTTCACCTGGTCATCATTTAATTTGGATGATATAATTTTAGGGCATGTTATAAAAAGTGATTTATCCATTTCTAAGTTATATTTTTCAATATAACAGTACTGAATCTAGTCACGATCACCAGTGAAATTTTACCAAAATTTTGGGGTCCAGAGAGCAAAAAATTTCAAAATTACAGTGTGTGATGACCCATTTATGCATAAATTTGAATACACATAACAAATATTCTGAGTTTTATGTTAGTTTTGAATTTAATAGATATTATTTGTAAGAATGATACTACAATTTGTATGTAATGTAATACTTGTAAGATTCTTTGAGATAATTTAAACAAAAGTAAATTGCTCTAGACATTATTTAAGTTATAATAATAATTATGTAAATATGAAAAAGATAGCCTGACTAAGTGATCTAATTCATAGATGGCAAACCTTTTTGAGTCTAAATGCCATAATAATAAGCATAACTATATTTTAAAATGTTTATGCATGCCATGGTTTTAGACTTCAAATAACAATATTTAAACAGAATATTCTGAGAATATTAAATATCATTGGGTGCATTCCCTGTAAAGTAGCTTGATATGCAACAGGTTATGCCATTCGTTTACTTATCAAACTGTATCACCAGGTAATGTGACTATCATCTTGGAATACAGGTATACCTCGGCTTACGTTGTTTGTCAAAAAAGTATATGGAAAAATAAAAATCAAGTTTAAGTCATTTTATTTGACTTTACGTCTGTCCGCCACAAATATTGAAGTCGTAATATCACTAGAAAAGCATTTAAAGCACATAAAATCATATTAAAATATATACATTTACAAGTATGTGCTGTATTTACAGTACATGCATTCATAAATTTAGATTACTTTTTTCTGTACTATATTAAAAACTAAAATTTATTTGTTTGTAAGCTTAAAATAGATCCTTATTAACCATACATTATTAAAAATGCATTAATAAATAAAATACAGAACCGGAATTGGCAATTTATGGTTTAGCCTAGTGACAAGTAGATTTGGAGACAAATAAATTCGACTTATGTCGTTCTCCTGGAACCAATTACCGACGTAAGGTGAGGTATACCTGTAGTTATATTATTTTTAGAGATGGAAAAAGAGAGAAGAAAACTGCTCCTGCTCTGAATTCTCAGAGATCAAATACTTGTAAACAGAGGTCACACTGTAATTTGTATATCCGCAAAAGATATGAAATGTAACACAATTTAAACAAACAGTGCTTTAATAAAGTTTAATATACATTATTAATATCTTAAATGTTTTCAGGTCCATAAACCCATCTTCAAGCAAAATATTCAAAAAATTTTCTGCCTGTTCAATGAAGTCAACTTGCTTAGTTTGAACATCTGCTCCCAAAATCTCAGTTTACTAAGATAAGTGAGGTTGACTAAAAGAAACAAAAAATATATACAGATATCCTCTGTATAAGTGTAGTTGGGTTCTGAAAAAGTGCCATGTTATGTAAATCTTTGCTGTACAAAACAGACTAGTATAAACATGGGTTGGTTCCAAAGTTAGCAAAAGTATACTATTCTTTTTTGTAATTATGAGAAATATGTTTATTCAAGCAATCAATAATTAACTAACAATCACAATCAAAAGTACTGCAAGTTAATATTAATTTTTTTCTTCACTGCCAAACATCATTAAATGAGGACATTTTCTTCTTGGCAAAATATCATCATGTGAGCTTTTCTATTGACTTTAATCTGAAGGTCATCTATCAGCAACATCTTGATTTTTCTCTACTTTTTTTTCATAAAATCTGATATTTTCATTTGCTTACATTTGTTTAAGAGATCTTTAAAAATTTAATCTATAAAAACAACACAGCAACAGTCTTTCGAGTTTGTTTAGAGCACTATCACCAACTACAGCAACACCTGATTTATACAAAAGCTAGAACAAAGAAAATTTATAGCCAGTTCTCATTAAAGGAAACTATCAATACAAATGATTTGATTTCCAGTATAACCATAACAGATATTACAATTCAAAATGTATTGGTTATCCATTTCTCTAAGTCTTTGCTGTCCAATAATGCACATTATATACAGTCGACCCCCTATAACACGGGTTCCTATAGTTCGGATTCCTATATTACTGCAAAAAAATTGCGACAGTATTCATACAAACATGCTAAAAACACTCATATAATTCGGTAAAACGTCATCGCTGACCCGTGTCACGACAGGATTGGTCGAATCTAGACCAATAGCGGATATTGTACAAACCGTCGAGTTTAAACAAGTAGCGGACCTACTAAAAACCATTTATTATTTAACGTCCATAAAAATTATATTTATATTAATGATGTCTCCAAAGTTCAGTGAATTTTTCACAAAAAAAATAATTTATCAGGTAGCACACGAGTGCCATTCGATGACAAGCTCCATGACGAAAACAAGCTTAAGCAATGGCGTAGTCGAACGGTGCACACTTGGTAAGTAGTCCTACAATTTTTTGTTTATAGCATAGTTTGTATGGATTATTCCCAAAAAATTATATGTATTTTGGAAATGTTAAGTCAAATTAGTCTAGAATCGATTAATTTTATGGAAGAAACCTTTCAAACAGCCGTAGTCCGTAAACTGCATACGTGCCAGGCTGTGATTGGCTGGACTCGTAGAAAATGAATTCATAAAAACCAGAATGTATCTACCGTGTTATAGGGGGTTGACTGTATATTAACCTTTCCATTTTTTTTAACATTGCTTCATTAGATTATAGAACAAGTAGTTAATGAAACAAATAATGGAACAAATAGTGGAACAAATAGTTAATGAAAAAGTGGATTACTATTCAGTGCCAAGTAACAAAAATCAATGCAATGTTGAATATTAGCATCATAAAGTTATTATGCAAAGATGCACAAAATGGAACATTCCATTATCAAACAAAATTCTCCAAAGTCCTTTGGCTCTAACCAGAAGATATTCTTTAAGTAAAATCACAAGAATTAACAAAAGCTGATATGAGAAAATCTGCAATTCTTTCATTTCTGACATTTTGCCTAATTTGTTGATTGAAATTGTATTACGGTTCAATGTAGTCAGTTTTACATATGTAGGGTGCATTACATTGGAACACATAACATAAGCACTTAGTTTGATCTGGATATCTTTGGTCATAGAGATGTTCCATAGTCCTGAAATTTACATTCACCAAATATCGTTTACAAGCATAAAATATGTTGAAAGATATTACTATATGGTATGATTTCTCAGATAAATTAGTATCACTTCCACTTGACAGAAACATATGAAATTAATCTAGTAACATTATTTTCTTAGAATTCTGTTAAAGTGTAGAGCTGGAAAAACAGATTAACTTCATTGCAATAAGACTATTTTTATAAATCAAGACTTCTGTTTATTTTAATAAATTTATATGACATTAATACGGCATAAAATCATATAAGAGCAAGGAGTTCAATTGAAAAAAAAAACAGGCACAGTGAAAAACAAAAGTCTTTATTGAGGAGACTGCGGTATGTAAATGTATATTATGAACAAACAAACTGATGTCTTGTCCTTTTTTTTACTCATATCC